GACCTCAAGACTAAAGTAAGTTTATGTATATTTTTTTTATTTATTATATATTCCTGAACAAAAGTGACTAAAATGTATTAGGGTAGATAAGAAAACAAAAATGTCTCTGTGAGAAATGTACATGATGTAAGTTATAGTTTCGTATTTTGTTTACTGTCACTTGGTCTTAATTCTTACTGAGTGAATTATTGGTTTGTTATACTGGTTAGACACAGTTCAAAGAGCAATAAAATAATGAAATTAAATGTAAACAGATGGAAACTGTTATGGGTCTGACACTTCAAATTGGCATATATCTCCGCATGGACCCAACAAACCTTCATGCCAAAAGGAAACAAAATACCATGAAAAAAAGTAAAATATTCAAGTTTTCCCTTTCTTCTAAAATAAAATAAAAACCACATAATCCTTACACAATTACTCCCTAATGTTAAATTGGAAAGGAACCAACCAAGAGCAAAAAAACATTTAATAAAAAATATTTTATTAAAAGCTTGCCACATTTCATGTAGATACATGAAGTAAGTTTAGAATTATAATTAACATTTATTCTTCAGTACAGTCAGTTCATTGGATACGTTCCTCATCAGATGTCGTACTTACAACGTGATACATCATGGACTAAAATCTCTTATCATATTGTGAACAAGCATATCTCAACTATCTTACACCATTCATAATCATATTGTGAACAAGCATATCTCAACTATCTTACACCATTCATAATCATATTGTGAACAAGCATATCTCAACTATCTTACACCATTCATAATCATATTGTGAACAAGCATATCTCAACTATCTTACACCATTCAGAACAAGCTATTCTTTGTGAAAAAATATCTTCATACAGGAAGAAAAAGTTTTTTTTCTTCACAATCAACAACAAAATGAAAGTTTTACAATCACGTCTATGGTAACTCTTCAAAATTACAAACATATGAGAATTATTGGAATCAATGCCGATCGAGAATATCACAAGGTCAAACACAGACAAACTAGCAAGTTATTGTTATCTAAGTGTGACAGGGACAGGAGAATGGAGATAAATAAGCATACAGTTGTAAACTTAAGTGACAAATGTCTTAATGATAATGAAATAAGTGTACTATCTCTTGGATTTAATTTTGTTCCTACTCCGAAACAAGTACCCTACACTGACATCGTTGCTTCCACTCAAAAAGTCGCTAATACATTAGATCTTACAACTGCTAATGAGTTGTGCTTCCAAGTTCAAGAACCTCTAAAATCATCTACAATTAAACCTCAAAGCAACCTAACTAAAAAAATATCGGTAATTTAAAGAAAGACACTGTTATATTACCTGCTGATAAGGGAAATGCTACAGTCCTCTTAAACTAATGTGACTATGAGCAAAAGATAGAACAATTATTAATGGATGCAATTTACCAAAGACTATCTACAGATTCAATCCAACGTAGAGAAAAAGAGCTAAGTAAAGAACTTTGGAACATGACAAAGAAAAATGAAATAATTATGACACTGTACAAAAGATTATCTGTACACCATTCAAACTTCCCACAGCTTTATGGTTTACCCAAGATACATAAACCTAACATACCCATGTGACCTATTATATCTTACATAGGTTCACTAACTTACAAAACAGCCAAATTTATTTCTAGCATGCTAAAACCTCTCACAATAGATCCGGCTTATTCAGTTAAAAACTCACGATAATTCATTAACAATATTTCTGGGCAAATAATATCCAAGGATGATATTATGGCTAGCCTTGACCTAGTTTCATTTTTCACCTAGATACCTGCTAAAGATATCATGGAAATAATATATAAACAATTAAGTGATGAAATCTTACTTCCAACAAGAACGTCCATCCCAAACATCATGATCTTGCTGGACATCTGTCTCGGTGCAAGTTACTTCTGTTGGAAAGGCCGATTATACAGTATATTAGACGGTACTCTACTTGTAGTAGCAGAAATATTCATGCAGCATTTTGATCACACTATTTTAACACCACATCTTCATCAACCTCGTAGATGGGTAAGATATGTTGACGATATGATTATTTTATGGACCCATGGAGAGGAAGAGCTCAAAACTTTTCATGCTTATCTGAACAGCCAATTTGACAGCATACAGTCTCCATAGAACTTGAAGTCGATAACACTCATCCATTCCTCAGTGTTCTGGTTCACAAGGACACGAGTTTGGAGAAGTCGACAACTACCATTTATCAGAAGACTCGAACAAATAAATATGTGAATTTTTGCTCATGCCATACAATATCTGTGAAAAGTGGAATTATCAAAACATTAAAATCTAGAGCTACAAGTATATGTTTACCTAGATGAAGAACTTCTTGAGAATAACGGTTGTCCAAGTAAAACGGTTCAACATGTGTAGACTTAAGAGTCTACAAAGTCTGACAATTATTGATGTCATGTTGTGGAGCTGACACAGATCACAGGATTAAGTAATTCCATATGTTCCTTTGTGTTGAATTTTGGTTATTCACTGGTTCATTAAAAGTGAAGTAGATTATTAAATCAGTCCTCTATTTCAGGACAAAATACGTTAGATAATTCATACAAGCAGACAGCTAAGATTACTGCCTCAGCTCATTATGTTTATAATCAGATAGAATGTAAATCCTTGAGCATACAATGCTTATGTATTTCCTTGTGTGCTGTTTTTTGTTGCATGCGGTATGGGCAAGTGAGCAAACCTTAATAACAATAGAATTTTGACACATGAGGTGTGGTGATATAGATAAAACTTTGTATAAAATGAAACAAGAAACAATGACTTTGAGTACTGGTTAGGAAGCTATTGAACCAATTTGGACCTCAAAAGCAACTGTAGCTAGTTATCCGAGTAATCATGATGCCTCAAATATATAGCTCACAATAATGTGAAATGGTTTAAAAAAAAGACATGTAGAAACATGTAATTTTTTTGTGTAACTAAAGTTTATGAAGCTTCTTCACTTGTAGAAGACTTATATATCATTAAATACTGAAAGAGTTCAGAAATACTAGTAATTACCAATAAATAACTGTTTTGTTTGCTGCTGTATTTACTGAAAAAAAGAAATGTTGATGTAAACTTGTTTTATTTTACATTATCAATTGTAAATGTTATGAGCATTAAACTAAACTTATTTATAAGATGTGTAATGTGGGTAATATATATATTTTAACAGACTAGATTTCTGTTACATTTAGTGACTGTCAAACTTAGGACTTGGTCTTCAGGGAGTAACAGGAATGTTTTCAGAAGTTCCATATAAATCTATGGATGAACTTAATGTATTCATCAAATTTTAGAGAGATTAACTGAATGTGTACAGGGCCTTAAAGGGTTTTTGGTTCTAGATAGTTTAATGCTCATATTTTCTAAATCCTTAACAAGATCTGCAATACGCCATCCCTAGCGAGTTAATAATTGTTGTAGCGAGAGAGTTAACTGGTAATAAATCAGTTCAAGCATAATTAGAAATCAGTTAGGAAATTTTCAAACAGTGACACCCTTACCATATATATATATTGTAAATATTCAGTTCTGCTGAACCCAGCTGTTTATATTCAGCGTTTTATACAAATCTTGCTCTCAGTTCTTACCCAACTATTTAACACTTGTATTATCATCATCACACAACAAAAAAGTTTTTACTGTTTTGATTTTATATAACACCTTTTACTTAACTTATTTTCAAAAAATAATATCTATACTGTACACATTTGCTGTATTAATTAAAAGAGAACATCAACGTCTACACAAATTATCACTACTTTCACAAAATTCATTCATTCATGTTGTGTAGTTTGTTAACTGGTAAGTAAAATTAAACTATTGGAGAAGGATGACACACTGTATATGAAAGACAGTAATAACTTCTATAGTTATACTTGCCTACAAGCTCTTAATATCTTGCATACCGTACCTGTTCCAGTCACAACAAGCTCATCCTTTTCAGCAAAACCCACAGCTGTTATACCATTATAGGTATAAACTGATTTTAGCAACTGACCTAAATAGGAAATAATCACAAAAACAAAGTTACTGTAAACTTCCTTTCCAGGGGCATAGCCAGACTTTTAAAAAACTATATGCATATATTAACTGATTTGTCAAATTGTATCCACAAAAATTTGCTTAGAAAGATATGTGCATATAGTTACCATGAGTGTTCCCTCTAAGCTGCACATATATAAAATACTGCAGATCTTACTACCTGCATATATAAAATACTGCAGATCTTACTACCTGCATATATAAAAATACAGAATAGCATATTGTAACGCCACTCTAATACTTCAAAAACCATGATGACATCACGGCAGTAATTATGTATTGTAAATTCTGGTGCATGATCGCCATGCACAAAAATAGGTGCAAGCAATAACACACAATGAGCACAAAGAACCAAGCCTACCAGCTACCCTCATGTAGCTCAGTTTGACTGGATACTATGCGGTATACACGACCTATATACATTGCATGTGGTATGTGCAATAATAGTGCACCTATGCTCTGTTCCTTATTAGCATTTTGTAAATTTAGTTTTTAATGTATTTTATCCATTTTATTCTTGTTTAATGTGTATGTATTTATCATGCACTGAATGGGAACAAAAGTTAGCACTTGTGCTACCTTGTGAAAAACAAAGGTTCAAAAAATCTAGCACAAAGTCTGATCTAACTTACAAGGATATCAGAACTATATGCAGGACACCTGCATGAAAATTGTTAAAAAAATTATTAAATATGTCTAAATAAAGATATACATTTAACACTATTTATGAAATGTAAAATATTACGATATGAATATCATCACAGTGATGAGTAGGTTTTCTTGGATGGAAAATTAATAATATTATCAATTTTGTTTTTTTATTTTAGAATTATTACAAATTTTGAATTTCATTTTAGAGGCCACAAGTCAGTTTGGTATGTCTGTTACGTGAATACTGTTGTTATTAAAAAAAAAAATTTGTCTTTAATTTGTTGTAGTCGTGATACAACTGTGAGAGTATGGGATGCCACCAAAGGGGAAGAATTATGTAATCTTAGAGGTCATACCAGTTCTGTGACTGGAGTAGTTCTCCTGTGTCAACAGTCAAGTGTAACTTTAGCTGTAAGATTAGGCTGTTCAAGTTTTCAGCAACTGGCCGTCAGCTGTGCTCTAGACTGCTCCATAATAGTGTGGTCAATTCCTGATGGTATGTAATTCTAATATTGTGTTCTAACACTGTAGTTCATGTTGGTGTTTACATTAAAAGGAAAACACTCACTTAAACCATTAAAGGCTGGGTTTCTAGAAATCCGGTTGTTATTTTTTGCTCCAGAGTTTCAGTTAAGGTACATAACTTTCAGAATAAGGATCATATTAGTATTTATCTTATCAGTTTAAAGCTTTTTTTAATTTTATAGAATTGTGAATTTTGAAAATTAAAATTCCAAATCCATTTTTTAAAGACAGATGCTCATATTTTGTTGATTAATTCTTTAAAATCTGTTCTTTTGTAAGCACTGAATGAAATCTCAGTAGTTCATATTTATATAATTAGAAAGAGAAAATGGTAAGGGTTACAAAAGATAAGAAAGTAGGTGATTTCATCAGGTGTTTATTTGGAATTCTTGGAAAGCTTAGGTTAAAAGTAGTAAGAGACAGAGCAATCACAAGTTGAAACTCTAATCCTAAAATTCTTTTAACTAAAAGTAGATTGAAAACATAATAATTATTTTATCGTTTCCAAGTGTCACAAAAAAGACTTATAGTTTAAAGTTTGTGTTAACAGAAAGAGTGTAACTGAACAAACATAGTTATCTTCACCATGGTATTGTTAGTTGTATTCTAGGTGCTGAATATGATGATAAACACATGAATCACTAATTTATGATACAAGGAACACAAACATACTATCTGGTGAGTCAACTGTCATTTTGTAGTTTTTTAAACAAAGGACTTAAACTTAGATAACATAAAACTTCACATTATAATATTAATTTCATTCACATACAGTGTGACATTAAAGGTGTTTGATTAAACTTTGACTGTAACAAAGTGACTAGTACAGAAAAGTGTTTAAAGGGGCACCTGTTGCAAAATGATTAACACTTCTTTTTATGAACAAATGTTTAAAGTTATGTATGTATGTATATGGTCAAATACAATATTGTTTAATTGGTGATGTGACATGTCAGTGGAATATGGTTTTCTATAAACTAAAGCAACCTTTTCCTCTCATTTTAATTAAAACATCTAAAAAATTTAAGCATTTTTCTTGTTCTATTTCTAAAATAAACTCTATTGCAGTATTTACTGAATTCATGTACTTGTTGAAATCTGTTAATGTGTAATTGCCATGTCACCACAAGGAACGTGTGATCAACATATCTCATTCACACAGTTGGTTTAACCACAGCTGTGCTTAGCAGCTTTGATACAAATTCACACATAAACAGCTCCAGTAAGAAAACGTAATTGAGTTTTCTGAATTAAGTAAGATTACTTCACTGATTACGAGTTTGAACCTTGCATGTTTCGGTATATTTCTGAAACTTGTAAAATGTATTATATTTTATGTAGTTAAAGAATATTAAGTAGAGAAAAGCTTGATCTTTTGTGTACTTTACTTTTAATAAAACAACTTATTCAATTAGACATAGAGTATTCAAATTTTATCTTTTTATGTTCAATTGTATTTTTCATTAATGTCAAGTGTAATTTAACTTTACTAAACAACCAATTATTTTTATGAAAGATTGGAAAAGTAACAGCATAGTCAGCTATATACACATTATTAGCATGTGCATTTTTTTTTCTGTGCTCATCATAAATCCAATGTGTTTTCTCTAATTTATCTGGTAATTAGAATCATAATCATTACAGTGATAACTAATGTTCCCTCTAATTTGTTTAATCTATGTGCAGAATGAATTTTTTTCATGTGTGCTACCAGTTTTTTTTTTTCTGGAGGGGGGAAGTATTAGACTGTTTTGCAATGCTACCAGTTGGTTATTTGGGCTTTAGGCTTATCGACTGCCAGGGTCATTAAGGCCGTCAACGTGTTGAGACTCCTCCCCATTACTGAGTATATGTGTGGCTGCAGGTAGTAAGATCTGCAGTATTTTATATATGCAGGTAGTAAGATCTGC